GCATTGATCTTGGTTGGGCTAGTAGCAACCTCTTTGCCATCGGGTCCTAAATGACATATGAAGTCAACGCAATGCAAACGCCATCGACAGATCAAGGTCGATGAACGGTGATTTTCAGAACTCATGCGGGAAAGGGATTCGTTCAATCTCTGCAAGCATGTTTGCCACGTCGCATGCAAAAAAACTTATACTACCTGAGCGAGATGCGTTTAACCTCGACTGCAGGATCACCCGAAACACTTGTCGAGATCAGAATTTAAACATAACGTAAAACAAAAGGCAAACCGCGAACTTACCATGAACGCACACATTCAACGTTCTATCTTTATCGTCCGTCGTGACTTCAAATTTTACTTTCCGTTTTGCAGCGACGATGCTCGGCACCGAACAGCTGAAATACTCGTCGCTGTCCTTGACCACTGCAGTAGTACCGGACACTGAGGATGCCGCTGCCGCCGCGGTTAGAAGGGTGCTGCTGTACACAGTAGGCGAAGCACCGTCTTGCAAACAGTTTACATCACAAATGAAAGGGCTACCTGTAAATGTCACACAAATTAGACATTAGAGCAAGTAAAACTTTTACGAAGCTAGGTTTTGAGGGGTTTGGATTTAAACTTACAGAAATAAGTATAGAAACGACCTCAGAAATAATAAGTTTCCTTAAAAATTTTTCCATACAAATTTTAAGATGCATGACCAGATCCGTAAAGCGTGGCAACCAAACCACGTCCATCTTGTAGTAGTGAACTGATGTGTCGTAACTATGCTTTCAGAATTCGAGAATGGATTCGATCTGAGAAAACAAGAGCCAATCTTACGTTAGCGACTTTGGTTAAGCAAAAAACAAGGTGCAACCTGGTACGGTTGAATAGCAGGGTGTGACACAACAGCTATAAATACGACAACGTGTATTTCCAGTCTGAAACTGCTCAGACGAAAAATTTAAAACCAACATTCAGAGAAACTGGAAAAAACCGTCTTATCTGACAATGTACCTGCGCAGAGGAAAGTCATTCTACTTGGCAGAGAGAGGCTGGTTTGAACTGCGGAGTAAAATACTATTCATGCAATACATAATACACACAGTGAAACATCCAGAGTACCATATTACATCTATAACAATGTCTGTGTCAGTATTCCAGGTAAAGAAAAAAGCACACTGTGGAGTGTACGACTTAGTACTATATAAACTATAGGAGCATGTTTCATGCAGTATATATGCAGCTCTAAATACGTACATAAACAGCTCACAGATACATATATAAGGCACTAGTTATATATAGTATAAACTGCTGGTTGTTAGCCTCAACATTTATTGCATATGCCACGATCGGATTGCGCATACACATACGGTGATAACATAACGTACTCTGAACATTTTATCTATCGTATACCTACTACGTACATATAAAATACTCCATTTAATGGTCAACAACAGAAATTCTGTAGCGTACGCATTAAGCATACAGCATTCAATACATTATAATATGTCACAATAAATAGCATAAAGTTTATATCAGGAAATATTTCAGTAAATACTGTTGCAGCCCAAGACAGTTATACAAACTGAATTGTTCGCAATATCGAACATTCAAAAAACTTCTGTTTAGTGTGCAGGACACTACATCAAATATACAACGTAAACCATAAATCATACTTTACAGTGAACGGTATATATGAAATAATAACAATACACATACATTTACATAGTACGAAAAATTCTACGCTGAAACTTATACGTGAACAGCATTGGTTTACAGCATAAGCTTGCAGCATTTAGTACAATATGTAACATCTACAATTTGCCATATCATAGGCAAAATAAAGTTCACAGCAGCGCGTATTCATAAAATGCAGTACATCACATGCAACTGATTAGTATGTGATATTGTATCATACAAAAAATCTTGAAGATGAACGCTTCGAACAGTATTTCACTAATCACGTTCCGCCTTGCGTGTCCTCATCGTTGCTCAGTGTACTGTGCATTATGGACCCAGCATACCGAATAACCATGAATAACCAATTCCTCCGGCTTTGTCAACAAAAAAACAATGAAATACGGCTTCAAGCGTTCAGGTTAAAGTTTCGTCAGACTCTTTAAAATAAAATTTCTCTCCTTCGAGTGATGTTACAATTGGGGTCAAAGTTGTTATAGAAAAGCATGACTGCCCAAGTACAACGCGATACTTCGATATGGGTCGTATCAAAGCAAACCAAGCAAATTGTATACAACATACTGTATAACACATGAAATTTTTGTGGAATGTCACAAACCGTTGAACAGCACATAAAAGCAATACTTAACTACGTTTTACTCCCATATACCGACTTTTCGGACACTGCTCAGTCCGTCATCAGCGCTACAGGGGCAACAGACGGAGCATGCTAAGAAGGGTTAGATTCAGAAATGTAAAATGCAGGTTGAGTCTACTTTTAGGTATCGCTGACCTGTGTGTGACATTACTAAAATATCATCGTTTTCTGCTTAGGTTGCTTAGCACGTTAGAATGCAGGGCTACAACCGAACGAGGCAAGAAGTTTTTCGCACTGACTGCTAATTCTTTGAGCGAGGAATTCACCGAGTGCGGTTTGCTGCAACCAGCCAAAATATGGGTAGCAGGTCATTGCTCTTTGAACAATAGGGAATGGTGTCTTTGCACGGTTATACCAAAGAGTGCGAGACACAAGGATACGATGCGTGGTGCGTGCGCCTTGTGGCTGCAATTCGCCTTCACCTACCTGATAATTGACTAAAAATTTGTCTAACGTGTAAATGTAAATTTTAAAAAAATAACTACAGCACATAACATGACAAATATTTAGCACGACATATCATACAATGTACTTCATCCAACAGTCGATGGTACACAGCTTATAGTATAAGCACGCAACGTACATTATTACACAATATGACACATATCATGTTCTATTCTGCATAAAGTGTACATGGTCCATATTATATGCAGCAGTAAATGAAAAACGCGCATACATGCATTTTGTCGCTTAAGGTGCTTAAGACTGAATAAAATAGTTTAATGTATCCAAAACATGGCACCTAAGAAAATATTGTTACCCAAGCATCCAAAACAAATGGAACGTTACACAGTTTACACAAGAGTCAAATGCGATAAGGAACACTTTTTACCTCATTTCTATGAGCTGTAGATTCCAGACACCATTTCCATTTGCAGCACAACAAACAAACTATCCGTAACGAATTTATCGCCAGACACGTTCGGAAATGAAAGAAATTTGATACCCAAACTAGCTAAATACTCCAAAATTTGATTTTGTTAATTTATGAAGACAGAAGAGGAAATAGCTGAGACTTCGTGTGGAAAGGGCAGACTATCGCTGTTTCAAACTAAGAGATGAGAAGAAACCCTTGGCAGAAAAAAAGCGATTATTAAAATCACATACAAACTTTATAATCTTTAGATAAGTCACAAACGGGAAGACAACGCACAAAATGTTCTTTAATTAGGGACATCTGACGTTTCGGACCAAGCTCGGTTTGAAACATCAGATGTTCTTAATTAAAGAACATTTTGTGCGTTGTCTTTCGTTTGTGACTTACCTAAAGATTATATCACCTCCCGCATAAAAAAATCATGTATGATTTTTCATACAAACTATAATCATATTAAAGAGTTGTTTTGTCTTTGAAAACAGTGAACTCTAAATTTTTCTGATACACAACATGCGCAGATAAAGTAGAAACTGCTTCCTCCTTCAGAAGCAAGTAGTGTTTGCTATCACATCCGTTCCTGACGTCAGGCGCTAGTGTAATTTTTTCAGATAGTAGGATTCATTAAGCGTTAAAAATTAACGTAGCAGGAAAATGCATATGTGAAAAACAGTAGAGTACAGTCCACTTTAGACAGAAATCGCCTGTTCACGTTCAAAATCATTTTCTAATCTAATTATCAAAAATTTAGTTGTGATGCTGTATGCAAATACCCAGTACGCTTCATACTGTCCTACAGTAAACTATGCATCTGTTTTACAGCAATATCACGGAACTGAATTCCAACAAATAAAATTTGCTGCTACCAACATTTTTGCCACATATCAGCTCTACTTCTGAAAATTTATTTTCTTACTTGGAAATACTGAATACTATCCAAAAACAATCAACATTTTCTGTGTGATTAGCAGGTA